AACCCTAAACCCTAAACCATTGGCCTCCAAGCCCTTCACAGCCAAGACCGACTTCTCAGCCGCCAAGGCCACAGACAGGACATTGACGAACTCCATGGCCTAATGAAGGGGGGGTCTGGGGTTTAGGGTTTGAGCTTTAGGGTTTAGGGTTTAGGGTTTAGGGTTTGGGGTTTGGGGTTTAGGGTTTAGGAGTTGGGGTTTGGGGTTTAGAGTTTAGGGTTTAGGGTTTGGAGTTTGGGGTTCAGGGTTTAGGGTTCGGGGTTTAGGGTTTATGGAAAATGGAAACGACTATCATGTTTTCAGACTTGTGGAGTATAGACAGGCCACATTCATGGGAAAAACAGGTGGACAGGTAGACGGAAACTGGAGGCTTATGTAGGGATGTAAAAGCTTTTCTCGCTGGTTGTTTGCAGAGAGAGGAAAGGAAATGGAAGTTCCTTCCCATGGGGATTAGGCCCATGTAAATCCTAGACCGTAAGAGCTCCGGGAAGGAAGGAATGGAAAAGAACTTGGACAGCTTCGGTTAGGGCTATCTGAATCCACTCGTCTCTTCCCTGCTAACCACCAGCGAGAAACTGTTTAAGGTTCACCCTAAACCCCAAACCCTGAGCCACTTAGGGTCCAGAGTTGAGGGACTGCAGGCTTTGCGGGCTAGGTGTGGACACTCTCAAAACACGTAGAAATATAGTACCCCTGGGATCCTGGACCCATGCAAGGATTCTCAGCGTCTTTCTCATTAACGATTATCTAGAGCAATTTCAAGAAAACCGCAAATGCTCAGTACTGAGTAAGGGTGTAGGTTCGAGGTGCTCTTATAGACAGTGTTCCCCTTGTCTATCACTAGTACTGCCGACGACGCCTTCCAAGGACCAGTATGTTCTTGGGCTTGTAAGCTGCAGCTTGTGGTTTTGAAGGAGGCTTAGTGTTTGGAGCTTAGGTGGCACACAGCTTGCATAGCCAGGGAAGGCCTCAACACTACCTGGAACCCCAAAGCATGTATAATAAGAATAATAGCCTTGTTGACTCTTTTGCGGGTGTTTGGGCCATTGAATTACTTGCTTTTTAGGTCGAGATACCTGTAGCGCCCTGCACCCGGAGCTTCCCTGTCGTATCCCATGAGGTTTGCCTTTTGCTGACTGGTGGTTAAGAGGGGGGGACGGTGGGAGTGAATCTAGGCACTAGAAATTTGGAAAATGTGCGGATTGCACAGGTTTAGGGTTTAGGGTTTAGGGCTCCTTAGAGGGATCCATTCCCCCCTTAGCACCAGCAAGTTTGAAGCCAGAGCCCACTGAGATCTGGTTTCTTGTTGAATTACCATTAAAAAAGATCCTTTTGTTATTTATTGATATTGGGCCTAGGTATCCACAAAAAATGTAAACTTTTGTTCTACAAGAGCCCAGAGATGTTTAGAGGATGCTCTGGCCTTCTTCAGATTGCTCTTCCACTTCATAGGCCAATCCACCAGGACGGTGTTGGGAGAAAGGCCTCCAACACAAGCTTTGCATTTGAGAGGTTTGTATAAAACTCGCGTGCGCAGTAGGGATCCTAGGTATATCTTGGCATTTATACCGGTTTTGCAAGAGCTCCTCTTTGGGGGGGGGCGGTGGAGGGTTTCAGAAATGGCCACATCTGAAACAAACCACGCAAGTTTTGGGAAGAGCAGAGGAGGAGGACACGTTTCCGAAGAAAGTGCGCCGCGTTAAGTTGGCTCTACCGAGGGCAGACGACCTTTGCCTCTACCAGTCCTACCGTGCATACGAATGGTACTATATCCCCAGGGCTCCAGTTACCTAAATAATGGGAACTGGGTACCGTATACCCTATATTTACATAGCCCAGTAACCCACTATTTAGGCAACTGGGAGCCGTAGGTATTGTAGACACTTTACTACAGATGTTCTCTCAGCAAAATGTGGGTTTGCCTTGCCGTAAAGGGTTGTGGTAAACATCCGAAGCCATCCAGAATGCGGGGGCCTTCTGAGTACAGGTCCCCCGGCCATATCCTGGAGCCCTTGCCGGTAAAATCCGAGCTGAATTGAACAAATGCCGGCTTCGTCTTTTTGTCTCGGGGATGAATCAGCAAGGGCCACGCCTTTCGCAGGAATAGAAACAATTGGCTCTAAGATCTTGATTTCTTGCCTTTTGAATGCTGTCTGAGGCCGTCAAGTGGGGTCTCATGAGGGCTCGGATCTAGTTTGGATTTTTTCTTCAAAGGCTCTTTTCTGTCTGCCGGGTTTGCAGGGTTTAGGGAGAGCTTAACGAGGAACGGACCAGAAAATGGACATTGCTACAGGAGGCTACAGGGTTCAGGGTCCAGGCAGTGAAGGTTCAGAAGGAATTGAAAATCACATTGAAGTTGCTATACGGTTTAATTAGGCCCTAAACCCTAGACTCTAAACCTAATAGGGTTTAGGGTGGCAGGTGAAAGAAAGTAAAGCAGACTCGAAGCAACTGTAAGGGTTTGTGTTCCAGGGTACGTAAGGAATGAAGCAATGGCATAGACGTTGTAACTACAATGTTCTGGTGGAAGCCCTAAACACCAAATCCCAACATATAGCCACTACTTCACTGATCTATTCCCCTGTTCCGTACCAACCCCAACAAACATAGGGGCAGGTGCCGAAACCCATGCTGGTCTAATTTAGGATTCTTTTGTCAGGCCATTGAAGCTTGATGCGGACCCCAGCTGGCGCTTGCTGGCTGCACATCTGAGCTTCATAAAGCAGAAGTCGAGCATCTCTCCACGAGGCAGGAGTGCCAGGAGTACTATACTTTAGGGTTTATATAGGGAAAGAAAATGGAAACTACTATAATGAGTTATATGGGGAAATAGGGGTTGCAGAAAACGCAAGGATTGCAATCCTGTGATCTTCATGCTTGGAGCCCTGTGGTCACACCAAACGTGCCACAGCTCCACTGCACAGAAACACTTGGGCTAACAATTAAGGAAGCTCTGGGGGGACTCCACATTAGGAGACCATATGGAACCCTAGGGAGGTCTCACAGAGTCCTTATTGATGGGTCCCCTTATATGAGCTACGGAATTAACTCTAGTATCCCCCCTAATAATCAAAATAATAGTCCCCTATATCAGCCCTATATAATCTGCCTTTAAGGAGCCTAAGCCCTAAACCCCATATAACCTCCCTTGAAGCAGTTCAGACTCTAGCTTACATGGGGCCCATTACGAAAACCCTGAACCCTGAACCTTAAAACAAATGTAAAGTCTTGCCCGAGCGCACGTCCAGCCTCCAATGCCACTGAGCTGAATGATGTAGTTCCTTTAGAAGATATAGGATTAAGGGGTGAGGGTTTTAGGTTCTGGATTTGTTTAGGATTAAGAAGTTTAGGGTCAAGGATCTAGGGTTTAGGGCTCTGGATTTAGGGTTAGGGTTCTCAACAGGAGGGGGGCCTACTTGACCCCAGAGACATTCGAAGTTTATGGAGTGATCAGGGGGACAGCCCTCAATGATTACTGGGAAGGTCGAGGGGACGTAGTAAGTCTGCTTATACCTACTGCAAGCCATCGAATTTATGATAAGCCCAGTTGTCTACATGTTAAACTACTCACTAAGTTGCTCCGACATCCCCCGACCCTCCAAGTATATAGGGATAAGTTTGAGAAGCACCCAGACGGCGTGGTACCGTGGGGCCTAAATATGGTTTAGGGTTTAGGTTTACAGGCAAAAGATGAATACAGATCATAGAAACTCGAATGGACAAGAAAATTGAAAACGTCATGACAACTGGGCTTCACTGGGGGGGGGAGGGGTTATGGGGATTGCGGACGGTAAAGGCCCAAATAATGCCATGGTAGCTTTGAGGTCCAGTTCAGCTACCTGCCAGGCTAGAATGTCAGGGTTTAAGATTTAGCGTTTAGGGAAAGTAGGTTCGTCATATTGGTAGTCATTTATTTACCTGTTTAGGCTTCCACACTAAAGCGTTTGTTGCTTGTGGGTGAGGCAGAAGAAGGAGACGGGCACTGAAGCCGTGGCGGCTGCAAGAGATAGCACGTACAACAGCCACAAGACCACACGTACCAACACGGCTGTTCAAGCTGATACCAAAACAAGGGGGCCTTAGGTCCCAAAGACTACAATCTGAATGGCTTTTGGTACCTAAAGCCTCAAGATCAGGGTAGGGCTCCGCATCTGCAAACAGCATCTGCTTTGGGCCCCGCAGTCTAATTTGACGCCCCAGATTATCAGACGATAATAAGCGGCACATTTCTGCTGGTTACAGTGCAAACACTGCCGCCATCGCAAGCATCATCACTACAGGGACCTTAGCAGGTATACTTAAAACCCAAACGAAGTAGGGCATATGATTGCAACCACCCTCGTGATCAC